AACTACAAAGTCTCTAATCGGAAAAACCCTTCTCAAACCATCACCATTAAAACAGTGTGTACAATTGTATCTGAATAATAAATAGGAAATTTAATAATTTGTGATATATATAATTATATATCTTATTGTAAGTTTTATATAAAAAACCTTTTTTGTTTTATTGTATAAGTTATTTTAACTTGGGATCTTTGAGTTACGATCATTATTTAGGTTGACTGATGCTGAAGTAGCAATGCTTTGTTACAAACGACAAACGAAATGTGAGTTAAATCCAAAAATACTTTCTTGGTATGGAAAATAAAACAAAATAGATTAAAACCAGGTTTTTATACAGTTTCGTATTGTAATTGTTTTTAGTAATACTGTTTGCTTTTATTGTGCTTCTAATTATTTTTTGAATTTATTTTGTTTACGAATTATGAAAGCAAAACAAAAATGAAAACTTCTACGTATTCACACATATAATACCATATACATCTATCAGGCCACCAAGCTCAGAGAGCAAATCAACAATTAATTCCAAATTTATATGAAATTTATGTGGAAGGGGCATCGGAATTTATTTGTGTGAAGGAAATTGGTCAATTTTTTAGGCTCTATTGATTCTACATATTTTTTTAAATTTAAAATTTAAATTTCAAAAAAATCGGTTGGTAAATTCCATCTGAAAAATGCATTGAAAAAAAAATACAATTTTTAGCCTAGACTTCTAAATAAGGGTAAGTCTTCTAAATAAGGGTACTGAATTACAGAGTAAAATTTTTGAATAAAAAATAGAATTTAAAAAAGAAATTGAAAAAAAAGCAAAAAATTATTATTATAATTTAGATGGCTTATAAAACTGTACTAAATAAAATGAGAATCACGAAGAATACTCAACTATTTTGTAATAATTACAACAGTAAGAATTGTTTTGTAATTTTTTTCCGAATCAAAATTTCGGAAAATAATTTTAACTTGGTGGCCTGACACACACCCATACATTCATTTTCATTTAAGTGTAACATTTTTCACACAAGATAATCAAATGAATTTTCGGTTCTTGCTAAATTAAATTAAATTGAAATTGACACAAATAAGTATTTCGATTATTGCAGCAACTTTGTGCGCGTGTTTTTTTTACCTAATTATTAACTAATTAACTGGGTTTTTTAATGTGGGTTAAATAGTTCGTCACTTTTAAGCTTAGCTATGTATTTCAGTTCGAACTTTTCTCTTCATCACTTTTAAGGTAAACAGAGCCTATTACAATTTATTTGACATTTTTTTGACAATTCTATGTAATTATATAAGGAGAGTATATAGGCTAATAATAAAATTGATGTTTTGAAAAATCTCCGCACTTAAAATTAATTTGATCAATTTTTGCCTTTACAAGGAGAAAAAGGAGCCTTTATTTTATAAAAACGAAGAAAACGGCAATTTCATACAAAATACAAAAATTTTCTTAACTAGATATAAACGACAAATCTCACGCATGAGTTGTTTTTAATTTTTTTTTATAAAAAATTATACTTACAAAATACAAATTAACGTTTTTTATTTCGAAATACATAGTTTTTTTTATTTTTACTAATTTCGTTTACAAGTGTATTCTCGTAAAACTAGTTTTAAAATTTGGTTAGCTGTTTTAATTTTATCTTTATTTATTCCATGAACTGCAGACTGTAGAAAATAAAAACAATATAAATATTTACATACTTAAACATATGAAATTTTTAACTACAAACATGTGTATACACATCCAAGCAAATACAAATGTACAATTGTTTGCAAATTTTCTTTTATATGCGGTTAAATTCGCGTTTGAAGTTCTGACTATGAGAGATCTTATTGTAGTTATAACTGCACTGCAGTAGAACTGAATTAGCGCTGTCAACAAAAGCTCTGGTCCTGGTGTCAAAAAGTTTGATTTACATGTTTTACTAAATGAGGTCATGAATATAAAAGCAGAAAAAAATTTTATGTCGTCTATTTGACAACAAATCTTTTGCAAAACGTGCTGCTACAGCAGATCTTTGTTCGCATATAGCTTGATATACACATTTACATGTACATAACCCAACTCTTTTATCTTCAATTTTGGCTTCGGAAGTGAAACACTAACACTAATCATATTAATGGTTAATGACTTATTCAGGCATGTGCTTGCACATGTTAGTACATTCATACATGTATTTGGAAAAATTAAAATAAAATTATTGTTTTCAAACATTTAACATTGAATTAAGGAAAAACAATTTTTCAAAACCATAAAATTTTATATTGCACTATAAATAAATAAAAATTCGAAAGAATACATGTCCATTTTTATACCCGTACGAACGTATGTTCGAAAGGCATACAAAATGTGCCTTACCGTTTGTAACCCTAAGAAATAATGGTCTGAGATATAGACTCAAGTATAATATGTTTTCGATCAGCGTCGAATTCTGAGTCAATTTAGCTTTGTCTATCCGTCCGTCCCAACGATAACTCAAAAACTAATTAAGCGTAGTTCACCACATTTTCGCAAATGATTTGTTATGGTAAATGCCAGAACCCTATTTACATTGGTTATAATCGGGGTACTTGTTCGGGTACCTGCCATACAACTTCTAAATTTATTTGGCTATATCTAAAAAGCTGTGTTATTGAAATTTCAAATAAACGAATATATTAGCAGGACTAATATGCTTAATAAAAGTCATTAAAATTGAATGTTTTTTATCACAGAGTTGACACGTTCAACACTATTTTTTCTCGTTCTATCATAAGCGTATTTTTTTAACAAAAACATTTTTCTTTTTTAATTTTTGTTATTTTTTCTTTTGTTACAGTGTCAAGTGTTGATTTGAACAGGTTTATCTCAAGTAATGTTTTTCAAGTATCCCATAGTGAAAAGACCAAGGGGTTTAAGTCAAGTATTCTGATTTTATCAACACAAGCAGGAGAAACGGAAAATTGGAGCAACAATTGGATTCAAGATATATAGGAAGAAAACAACAACACAAAGATGCATTCCAAATGATTCGTACCATTCAACGAAACATAAAATGGTGGCGTTCAACTCTATGATCCATAGAATGCTAACCACACCGATGGACAAACACGACTTTAGACCAGAAGTAAACTTCATTTTGGACACGGCTATGGAGAACGGTTATTCCACTGAACGTATTAACAAACTCATTAGGAAGAAAAAACGAAAAATTGAGCAGGAGAATATGAGCACATTGTTTAAACAGGACAGGATATTGGAAGAACAAAGAACAACATGGGCATCTTTAAGTTATGATCATCACTGTACAAACTTGATAAATAAACAACTAAGGAAACACAATATTCGGATATCGGAAGCCAATAGTAAATATCAACTTAGGAGCTTGTTAAATTCGGCTAAGGATAAATTGAAGGTACATGAAAGATGCGGTGTGTACAAAATCAATTGTAATAATTGCGATAAATTTTACATAGGACAAACGAAAAGAGCCTTTAGAACAAGACTTAAGAAACATTTAAGTGAAATAAAACGTGCAAGGAGAGTAGGATTTAACAGGATTTTCGATTCTATGGTTGCAAAACATATTTATGAAACGGATCACACAATCACGGAAGATAACTTAAAGGCATTAAAAGAGGTAAAAGGAAAACACAGGAGAGAAGTTCATGAAAGCATGCAGATATACAAATCAAACAAGGACTGCCTACTGAACACGGACGATGGTAACGCGGCTACTTGGCTCTTTAAATTAATTATTTGACCAGTTTTAAGGTTTAAAACAGGTATAAATTTAGTTTGTAACTAATAACAAAAAAAATATAAATAAATAACCAAATTCTAGATTAAGTCAGGTAGATAATTATATTAAGTCAGGTATAATATTACTAATTTTAATAGATTTTAATTTTAATTGTTTGTTGTCTTAATTAGAAGAAAATCAGCTTTAATAAAGTGCGTATGTAGCGTACGAAATATATTAGGAAAAAAATAAAAAAAGTATTTTATTCCGAATAGAAGGAAGTTTTCTTTTCATACCAATAAAAAAAAAAAGTCAGGTATTCTGCTTTTGCTTAGAATATTTTCTCCTCTTACATCCTATGTGTATTGAAAGTTATCACAAAAATAAGACCCTGAACAAACGAGATAAACCGTTCGAATTAATCCCCTTAGTACTTAATCTATGGGAAAGTTGAAAACATACATATGTAGGAAATACAGGAAATATAATAAATTTATTACTAAAGCACTATGTCAATTTATTTTTTTTTAATTCTAATTATAGTCAGTTTTAAAATTTAAGCTTTTTTTAAAAAAAAATTAAGTTACTTAATTGGGTGTGACATTATGAACTTTTTGTTAGCTTCATATTTCTTATATGAGTTAATTTCCATATGTATGTATGAATGTGAATGTGTGAAGTAAAAATTTTTTAACTTTTGAAATCATCATATTATAATTAAGCAAATTTGAGAAAAGAAGCAAAAGAAAACAACAATCAAAAACTTGAAAATTAAATGAATAGCTACAATGTAAAATAATAAATGTAAAAAAATAAATACAAATAAATGTAGAAAAAATAAATATTAATAAATGTACAAAAATGAAAATTATACAATTTTAAACCTCTAATACGAAAAATTTTCAAAAAATTCAAAATATTGAGTAAAATTTAGTACTTTAAAGAAAAAAATGGAATTCCCACGTTTTCCTTCATGAGTTTAAAAATTGAAGTGCAATCTATAGGCTGCTTAATTACTTCATGGAAAAATAAGAACAATAAAAGTATCTTTCTGCGTTGTGGCATAAAAATAATAAATAAATAAGAAACTGCATTTACTTTTCAATATGACATACTTAGTATTTTCGAATAATTATGTAAATTATAGTAAGCTATATATATGTATATTATAAAGCTTGATCAGGTACAATAATCACATTTCTTGAAATATTATTTAGTATTTTTGGTACATTTTTATTAAAAATTTAAAAATTTATTCTAATTTAAATTCTTTATTACCTGTTAAAACTAATGCTGAGATTATTGATACACTGGCTAATAAATATACACTTTTAACCATTTTAGTAGAAAACACCCAAAATTTGATTTCTTTGAAGATATTAAAATTTTTCTCTAGAAAACACAGGAATATAAAAAAATTGTGTAGTATTTAATACATATTTTCATATATTTCTTAATATTTTTTATTTTTAATATAGGTATTTACTTAAATTTGTTTTTTCAAAAATAAAAATTTTTTAAGTTTATCAAGAATTAATTTAGATTATTTAACGGAGTATTCATATTCCGTTGAGTATTCATTTTAAACAAATGTTTTTTGTGTACCTATTTTAAATATGTATGCAACAACATATTTAAAATTTTATACCTAAGTAAATCGTTAACACTTAATTGTACATAAAATAAAATAATATTATTATTTTTTTTCGAAATTTGAATTTAATTCACAAATTGTGTTATATTCATTAAATACAATATTATTAACCTTTTAACATTTAAATTAATTAGATGTAAAATATTATATTTAAGTATGTATATATTTAGAAAAATATTTAAATATAATTTTAAAAGCAAATAGAAACATCAATTAAATTAAAAAAGTTAGTTTATTTTCTAAATCTTTTATAAAAACAACAAAAATTACATAAATGCGATATAGTTTGACGTTTACCACTCTAACGTTATTCCGTACTACGGTATTCCTACAATATAATATTATTTTGAATACTTGAACGTATTTTTACAAACTAACATAAATATCAATTTGACAAAAATTATTTTAAAAACAACACAAAAAATTGAAAAAAAAAAAACAAAAGAAAAAGTACGAAACAAAACTATTGTATGATCTCTATATACACATACTATGTATATATAATTTATTTACTATGCCTTATAAAAATATTATTCCAAAGAAGAAAATGAAAACAATAATGAATGGAATAAGAATTATGAGCAATAAATAAAATTAAAACGAAATCCAATAAAAAAGTATTTCCCTCCAAAGTTTTTAAATCGTCTTGTACACACACAGTCTACAATAGTGTGTTATTAGATGCAGAACACAAATATTGCACGTAAACATCAGAAAAACCCAATAAACTACAAGTATATTAAAATCAGAAACTACTACAAGCAAACCATAAAGCTTTTCTAACTAAACTTTGAATAAGCTTTAATTTTTCTGCCATCAGTTTTTTTTTACAAATGTATTACATAATATTTAGTTAAGCATAATATTCTTCTACCTTGTACCTATGTACATATATATCTCGTGAGAAGAATATTATGTAGTACATACCTAGTATGAGCTCACCTTTATACATATATGTATATCTTGTGTACATGCACATGTATATGTATATATTACAATATGATCTTTTTTTGCATCTAAGCTTTAAGAACGAGGTGAAAATTGAGTGAATAACATGTATGCAGATTTGTACTATGTAGCGGACAAGTAACAAAAACAATTTTTGTAATACGTGAACACATACACATGTATGTATGTATGTATACATACAGAGTGAGCCTTAAAAGGCAAGTAGAAATCGATGAAAGTTTAAGCTGGGTGTTGTGGCCAACTTTCAGCTCTGCGAATAAAAGCCGTGCACAAAACCGGTAGAGTGAACATATCTTCATGCGCGACTGGAAAAAATAAATCTGAATAAAGTAAATGTCTTCGCAGATAGAAAAGCCACAAAAAAAAGTCTCTTATTCAAAATCTAAAGTGATAATCAGGAGAGTCGACACGTATTCAACAAATGATTTTTGAGATTGGCGAGGCTTTTTTTGGTTAGAAATTTCTTCTAACCAATCTAAAATATATAGCCAAAGGTGGCGATTAAATAAGAGAAAACCTTTCTCCAATAAAGTATGATCTAAGCGACACATGCAAATCTTGTTTCGGCTTTTCTAATCGGGAAATGGCTTCTATTTCAACTGCAAGTGTCAGTAGGTTACTAAAAGTATAATTAAATATTTTTATTAATATTTACACATGCATAGATATATCCTTTAATAATCTTTTAAATAAAAATTCTTATAAGTATATATATTTTCATTTAAATACATCCCTAAATATCGTTATGGCTTACGTTCAAGACAATGTTGCTTTTTATAGAACACGCCTATTAACAACACATAATACAACAGTTATAATCAGTTTATATCTATTTTAGTAAAAAGAAATTGATTTTCACGATGGCATTCATTAATACACTAAGCTATGACCAGTTCGATACAAATGTATATGTACACAGGGAGTGTAATTTTTGAGAAACTTCGTTATTTTTAAAAAGCAAAACCATAAGAATTACGAAGCAAATTATGTACTTTTAATCAAACCATTAAAATAAAAAAAACATCTGATGATTTGATTACAGTTTTCGTGATTCTTTTAAAATATTTTTTTACCGACCTATTGTGTATACAATAGATAGGTTATGTGATGGCAACAAATTTTGCATATCGAGTTTTCGGTGGGAATGCACTTCTCCACAGTAGGGAAGTGTAAGTTAACTATTTTTAGTAACCTGTCGGTTTGTGCGTGCACGCGGGTATCTCAAGTTCGGCTGAACCGATTTTGATGAAATTTTATAAGCAAGTTTATTTCGACCATGGCACGGATTGATCACCTTTTGGGATATATCAGGCTTCGGGAACTGCACTTTTTAGCGGGCCTGTTTTACATTTTTGACCATTTTGAAGAAAATATTTAACCGATTTACTTGAAATTTCATATATAAGCTTTGGTCGACCGTCCGCAAAAATTCCTGACTTTTGGAAGAAATCAGGCATCAGCAACTGGACGTTTACTACGGGTCAAATATACATTTTTGTGTATATAAAGAGAAATAATCAACCGATTTCATTGAAATTTAATATTTGAATTCCTCGTATTAAAACAATGAATATATAAATTTTTTGGAAGATCAGGGCTCGAAAACTGATTTTCGGGCCGATTTTACATTTTTCACCATATCTACGGAACGAATTGATGGAATTTCTTGAAATTTAATATTTGAGTTCTGGTTGTTAACGAAAATACCTGGCGAGCATTTCAGGGAATTCGGGTAGCACAAAGTGAAACTCTACTAAGAGCCAAATTTACATTTTTCTAGGTATGTTAACTATAAGCTAACTAATGCCCTAAAAATTGGAAAGAAGTATTTAATAGACATTTTTATAATATTCCGTAACACTTTCACTTAACTAGACAATACACAATGCGGTCGGTTATGTGCTGAGCACATTAAATTTTTTTATTTTGAGTTAGTATATCGGAATATACATATGTATGTATACATGTGATTTGTACATATACATGTATATATGCTATTGGGTTTAATAATGTGGATATTTTTTTTTGTACAAATACCTATTATTCTGCTATTTTTTTTTTTATTTATAATAGTGAATTTTTATATTTTGAATATATTATGTAATATATTTTTTACTTTTTTTATTTTGTGCTTTAATTACTGTTTGTCATAATGTTCTGCTAGGCTGTTGGAAAAGTTAGCTCTTTCTTAATAATAATTTACCATTTTCTATCAATTTAAAAAAATATTTCAATTTAAATTTATGTATACACACTCTGTACGAGTTACGAAGTTCTTTTTAGAGAATTTAAATAAATAAAATAAATAAATAAATTATATATGAAGATATATTATTATAATATATGAATATTATTATAATATACATATGTTATAATAATTTATAATTTATATATAAAAATTTTAGTTTAAGCATCACAACGGTTTTCTAAATACAACCACTACATATGCAATATAAAAAATTAATGGATTTTCTACATGTACAAATTCTTTTAATTGAAATATCCATTCCAGAAGAAATAGGAGATTAAAAAAAAGAACTTGAAGAAATTACAAAAATTTCATTAATCAGCAACACTACGCATTAAAACAAAAAACAAATACACAGGAGTGAAAACTCAAATACAATACGAAAAATATTATGCATTTGGAAAAGATTCATTATTGGTAATATTTTAAGTCAATTTTTCTCTAACTGCCTATAAATTCAGTAAATTTATTTTAAATTTGAAAATTTTGGTATTATATTCTTCTTAATTTTCTAGTTTGTTATTTTGACATTATTTGTACTAATAGTGTCAAAATAACAATTAAGTAGGAAAATTTCCATAACATGAATTGGCATTTTATAAAAAAAATTTTTTTTAATTGGTAAAAAATTAAGAAAATCATTCAAGTATAACTATATGCAATCATGTCCTAAATTTATAAAAAATACAATGAATAAAATTTTTAAGTTGTTTTTACAACACTAAGCCATAATTTTTTTTAATGTTTCATCAAAAATTTACAGTGTTAAATATTTAATTGACATAATTCGATTTGAATTTGGTTTGTTATAATTTGTTACTTGATGTTATTTCTAATAACATTTGCGCAATACAATCAATGTCAATAAACAATAACAGTTTTGAGATTAACGTACTTTGTATTAAAATATTCATAGGTACTTTTAAATTAGAAAATAAAGTGATTTGTAATTTTCAGAGCCTCTAATGGCTCTTCAAAAACTCTTTGTTTGAAACTTTAATCTTTTACGTTATATGCAAAAAATTTGGAGTCAAACCATCTTTTTCTTTTGCAAATCCTATAATCTGTTGAGTTTTTTTTTTTATTGGTATGAAAAGAAAACTTGCTTTTATTCGGAATAAAATACTTTTTACTTTTTGCTAATATATTTCGTGCGCTACATACGCACTTTATCAAAGCTGATTTTCTTCTAATTAAGACAACAAGCAATAAAAATTAAAATCTATTAAAATTAGTAATATTATACCTGACTTAATATAATTATCTACCTGACTTAATCTAGAATTTGATTATTTATTTATATATATATATTTTTTTTATGTTATTAGTTACAAACTAAATTTATACCTGTTTTAAACCTTAAAACTGGTCAAATAATTAATTCAAAGAGCCAAGTAGCCGCGTTATTTTCGTCCGTGTTCAGTAGGCAGTCCTTGTTTGATTTGTATGTCTGCATGCTTTCATGAACTTCTCTCCTGTGTTTTCCTTTTACCTCTTTTAATACCTTTAAGTTATCTTCCGTGATTGTGTGATCCGTTTCATAAATATGTTTTGCAACCATAGAATCGAAAATCCTGTTAAATCCTACTCTCCTTGCACGTTTTATTTCACTTAAATGTTTCTTAAGTCTTGTTCTAACGGCTCTCTTCGTTTGTCCTATGCAAAATTTATCGCAATTATTACAATTGATTTTGTACACACCGCATCTTTTATGTATCTTCAATTTATCCTTAGCCGAATTTAACAAGCTCCTAAATTGATATTTACTATTGCTTTCCGATGTCCGAATATTGTGTTTCCTTAGTTGTTTATTTATCAAGTTTGTACAGTGATGATCATATCTTAAGGATGCCCATGTTGTTCTTTGTTCTTCCAATATCCTGTTCTGTTTAAACAATGTGCTCATATTCTCCTGCTCAATTTTTCGTTTTTTCTTCCTAATGAGTTTGTTAATACGTTCAGTGGAATAACCGTTCTCCATAGCCGTGTCCAAAATGAAGTTTACTTCTGATCTAAAGTCGTGTTTGTCCATCGGTGTGGTTAGCATTCTATGGATCATAGAGTTGAACGCCACCATTTTATGTTTCGTTGAATGGTACGAATCCTTTGGAATGCATCTTTGTGTTGTTGTTTTCTTCCTATATATCTTGAATCCATTTTTTTCCGATTTTCTTTTTACCAGTATGTCCAAAAAAGGTAACACTCCATTTTCCTCAATTTCGAATGTAAATTCAATGTTTCTATGTAATTTGTTGATGCATCCGTTTATATTCTCCAGTTCTTCCTTGTGCACTATCGCGAAGAATTTGGACATAAATAATTCTGCGAGAAATGGTGAAAGTGGATTGCCCATCGATACTCCCGATGTTGTTCTGTACATCTCGTTTCTGAATTCGAAGTAATTCTCCTCCATGCAAAGTCTTGCTAATTTGTGGTATTCTTTTACTTTGTTGCTCCAATTTTCTGTTTCTCCGGCTTGTGTTGATAACCATACTTTCAAATATTCAGGAGATTCGTTAACTGGAACACTGGGAAAGAGCGGTTCGACATCGAACGATACCATTAATTCATCAGGACAGTGAGTTTAATTTAATTATTTTTAACTGAAATATTTAAAATATATATTTCAGAATATATAAGTATGTATTTGCTAAATACACATTTTCTAACATGTTAAATTCTGTTATATTTACACTTTCTTAAATCTATACCATAATGCTAACATATTCAAAATATATATACTAAGTCCTCGAGATACGACATTTCGAGCTACGACATGATATAAATTTGGATCATTTTTATTCGGCTTACGACATTGTTCCTAATACGACATTGAAAATTTAAAAAAAAAAATTGTTTTTTTGACAGATTTTACTGTTTTTTTAATAAAAATCTATACCGAATTTTTCAACAATGAACTCTTTCTAGTTAAAAATTCTAGTTAGTAGTTAAGAATACGAATTGAAGTGATAAAATATCAACTTATTTAGAATTTATTTTATTTATTTTTGTTACATCATTGAATTTTTTTGGTTTTGTTATTATATATTTGTTATTATATTATTTTGTAAATAATATAATATTATTTACAAAATAATTTATTTTTTGTAAATAATATTATATTTTTATTTTTAATATTATATTCTTATTTAATATTATATTCTTATTTTTTTAAAAAAAAAAGATCAATTATTTTATAAAACAGTTTGTCTAATTCACTTTTTGTTTCCATACATTTTTTTCCCTCCTCAAACGACAATTCGATTTACGACATAAATTTCTGGAACCAAAAATGTCGTATCTCGAGGACTTAGTGTAAGTACATATGTTCCGAAAAAATTTCTTACATTTATCTTATTGTTATACTTTTATCATAAGCTATTTAAATTCTTTATACATCAAACAAATATACATGTTATTGAAAGCAAAATTAATATTAAAATATTTCCATGAAATAAATTTGGAGCGTAATTACAACCGTCAGTCAAACAAGTCTCACAAAAAACTGTTTTAAAATATGCTGGCACATCATCATAATAACATTTATCAGGTAAATCATTCACATTTTCATAGGTGCATCCCCTCTGTGTTAAAATTGTTCCATAAACTGAAAAAAACCAGAATTATTAATTTCGATACCATTTTAAAGCAATGGACGAAAAAACGTTTTGTGAAAGCTAGAATTGAAAGCCATGCAAATTTTCTTTGTTATAAATGATAAAATTAGTTGTTTTCAACTCTTATTCAATAAAAATAATAAAAAAAAACATACGAAAATCAATATATAAAAGAAAATTATTGTTATCTATTATCTAACTCTTATTATTTGAAGATAACATGTTACTGTAAGCATTCCGTTTGGAACACTAAGAAATTAACGTCAGTGCTCAGAGTCAATTCAGAGTTGGTTTAGTTATGTCTGTGGTTTATTTATGTACGTTCGTTCGGTCACCCAAAAACGCATTTGGCTATAGGATTTGTAAGTACTCACAAACTTAAATGTCTAAAACCTATCCAAAACTGTAAATAAAAATTTATACAAACCCTCTAGTTCGACTTTTTTGCAAGCGGCCCGTTTTGTTGCGAATAAATCGAAATGTGATAAATAGCAATCTACATAAGTTTCCCTATTTTGAAAACTTGGTGCTATGTCAGGATCAAATGGATCCGAGCAGAGCGAGCCATTTACCGCTTGTGTTGAACAAGTCCAGCATTTCAAAGCACCAACTAAAAAAATAAAAATAACTATAGTTTAAAATTTTATAGTTAAAAAAATAAATTAATATTTTATGTTAAAATTGTGATTAAAATTAGTATTTATGAATTATCTGTTACTATAAAACAAAATAAAAAGCTCCAAAATATTGTCATAAAAAATTATGTATTGACACAATACATGAAAAATCCAAAAGTTCACATTAGATATAAATATCTATTTGGTTTTATTATTAAAATATTTGTGTGAGATTAAAATGCTTTATTCGAAATGTCGTCATAACGTATGCAATACGGCCAGTAATAACAATTTATCTTGGTAACCGTACAAAGCCGTAAATTGTCCTAGCGGTGATCATTTTATATTAATTTGACATAAAATTTTCATTACCAGCATAATTGTACTTTTGGTAAATTCAAATCTGTAATGTTCTAAAAGAACATACATACATAATTATGTAGATACATAAATACCTACACACATAAGAATAAATATATACATACGATAAAAGTGCACTTCCATTTTTAAAAGCAATACTTTATTGATTTTTTTTTATTTCTAATAACTATTTTTTTTGGTTCGTATCCGGTTATTTATAACATTTTGCCTTTCTACTGCAATTAGAATTCTTATTAATTCTAATCTTTAAATTATGAAAATATTTTGGAAAATATAATTTTCAAATAACATTTAGTGAAACGGAGCTAACGGTTTTTGGAAAGCGAACATATTGTTTTTTACTGGTACATACATACATATGTATGCATTTATAAAAATATTAAACAATTCGTTAAGTTATTCTTATATTTTGTATAAATTCATACACACATATGTATAGATTAGACAAATATACGTACATTTTATATGCCAATTTTTTTCCATACCGGTAAATAAACCTAAGTCATGTTTTATTTTATAATTAGCACAAGCAACAGTGATAGTTATTCATGTAGCATTACAAAATATACAAAATAAAAAAAAATAAAATATTTTATTAAAAATGTTTCAGGTCGAATATTAGATACGCTTCAAACACTAAATCGAAACTGAAGGTGACACTGCCACCTGGACCAAGCCAGCCGGAAAAAAACTATGACAAATCAGCTCGAGTGAATGCAAAGGCGGTTATAAACAAAACTACTAGTCAACCAAAGAGATGCATGAAACAGATATCAACATTTGCGTTTTCGTCTCCTCAAAGAAACTAAATTCTCAATCGACACAGAAGGTCGATTGGTAATTAGGATTGGAGGTAAAGTTCACTTATACTTAGGTATGTAAAAACTATGGAAGGAAGGGGGAGAAAGCATCAAAAAAAGCACAGATCTATAGAGAACTTTTCTCGGGAGGCAAATTAAAAAAAAGGTTGAATGTGGAACAACCTGAATCCGAGACATGAAGAAGAATCCGGTTCGTACTTCTCATACAAAGGCCTCGGTTAGTATCAACGTAAAACTAACTGTATGTGATGAAGAAAGATCGCTCGATTTTTACAAAAAGATGATCCAGAAGGTAGGTGACAAAGCTTATGGTCAGTTGGGGTGCAAAGTTTATGGTCAGTTGGGGTGCAAAGCTTATGGTCTGTGTTAATGCTACAATTGTATTAAATTCTACTACTTTATTTCTACTTTTAATTATACTATTACTTTTTAATTTTGTTTAGCTATAAAACTATTAAATTATAAGTACATATTATATTCATAAGGTAGGGGACAAAGCTTATGGTCAGTTGGGGTGCAAAGCTTATGGTCTGTGTTAATGCTACAATAGTATTAAATTCTACTACTTTATTTCTACTTTTAATTATACTATTACTTTTTAATTTTATTTAGCTATAAAACTATTAAATTATAAGTACATATTATATTCATATATATATGTACATAAATTCCAGGCGAAATTCTTATTATTTATTTTTCTGAAAAAAAATTTAATTTGTGATATTACTTTTTGTTTAGTTTTTTTGTTAAATTTGTTTCGTTGAAAGTCAAATCATGTTATAATCTTCTTTGAATTTTCTACATTTTTTTTTCAAATAGTATTTTTTTTGCCAATTATAGTACGCAAATTTCAAAATGAAGTGTTAAACATACTCATTGTAGCGAGCAGTTAGGGCATAATATATAAGGATAAAATCCAGGTGTACAGAAGGCAGGTAAAGGGCCGCAAAGGCTTCAGAGAAGGGAGGGATTTTTTTTCCATTGTTCACGGGGAAAGCGCAAGTTCCTTGGCTGAAAAGAAAATCAATGACATATCTTTATTGTTTTTTCAAGAAAATAAATCTAAGGTTGTCTGTGCTAAAAATCGCAATTTTTAGCACAAACAACCTTTCTTGTCTTCCGAATGGAAGGGTACTGAAAATACCTTTCTTGTCTTCGAAATGGAATTACAGAGTAAAACTTTTGAATAAAAAATTGAATTTGAAAAGAAATTGGAAAAAAAGATAAAAAACAATTATAATAATCTGAAAAAAATAATCTAGACAGCTTTTAAAATCATGCTAAATAAAGTGAGAGTCACAAAAAATACTCAAAAATTTAAAAAAAAAAAAAAATAAATTTAAAAATAAATTACAAATATGTACGTAAATATTTGTAATTTTTTCCTATTTAAAATTTCGGACAATAATTCCAGCTTGGTGGCCTGATAGATATACATATATGGCATTAGTTTTACCTACTAAGTTTTTATTCAATTTTTTATTTGACAAAAAGTGATCAAATTTGTTTATCTGCGTTTTTTCTAAATTATAAGAAACAAACAAATTGATTTTTTTTTAAATAGGCCGCTAAAAGTTTAGCGTAAATGGAAACAGAAAGCTGCTTAGTATTTGGTAATCACATATAAAATGCTACGTGAATATATAATTTTATTATGATGTCATGCATGTTTTAAACAAATAACAAATCTATTGTATATAAATTCACATATTTTCACATTTTCTACATATGGTTTTCTACATACGAGTACATACATAGGTATGTAAATATGTAGTTTTTATCTGTTTTTATAATCGTTTATTAATTCCCAATAATTTACATAGTAAGATAGGTTTGAACTTGTTTTGTTTTAAAAGCATTGTAATTTTTATTACTTTTTTGATATACCAAATTTTTTCAGAAATATATATGCACATACATACATATGTACCATTATTGAATAAAATTTTACAAACTTGTGTAAAAATCTAAATTATCATTTATACGTAAACTCTAAAAGTTATTCATTTTCAAGCACTTCTAGTGAAATTAAAAATTTATATGCATTATGCATTTCAATATTTCTTGAATTTCTTTAAACCGAGTATACTTAGAAACAAAAACCGTATCGTTGCTTTAATTCGATCTTGTTGATCTCGAGCTTTTGGTGTTTTTGTTAATGATTGTGAAAATGGAAACTTCAAACAGAATACAAATACATATGTAATAGCGTTTTCTATTCTTTACCTATGACAGTATTTGATGTACCCTAATAGTCAATGTCTTAAAAATGAATCGACATTGATTAATCACTTTTTAATGCGCGTCTAATGCCTATCTGTAACAACATTATGTACATTAATATACAAATGTAATGTATAAAGAGCGAATTATATATTTTAAAACGACAAATTCCTTTTATCTTTATTCTATATTTTGTTATTTAAATACTGTGTCTACATTTAATAACATATGAGACATAATAATAAAATGTTCCTTTATTTATATGAAAAAAATTCAAATTAATATTTTCCAATAATAATTATTGGCTAAAGAAACTACATATGTCACTCAATATACATATGTAGTTATAATTAAAAAGCTAGATTTGTACAAACTAGCACCTTCTGTAACTTTGTTATTCCAACATTTTAATGACAAAGTAAATGTGTACCTAATTATGTAAATACATATTAAATTTTCAAGGTTATTTAATATTTTTCGGAAAAAAAGTTTATTCTACCAAGGAAAAATAGTTTTAAAATTTATGAATAATAATACATAACATTATTTTGAAAAGTATGAGACATAACTGTTGAGAGACGATCCTATTGTGTCAAAACATGTCGTTTTAGAGTTACGTATTGCATATAGAATTAATTTGAAATAAAGTTGGGTCAAACCAATGGTTTGTATTGTGGCACTTTTCGCTTCAACAACTGGAAATTCTGCTTTTAAATACAGTCTATGTTTACCTATCACACTATTAAAATTATTTTCATTCATATACAAAACTATTTCTAGGATTGCATATATTTAGGATGAACGATTTATGCAGTCTTTGAAATAAAGCAAAAATTAATATAAAGTGGGGTTAACATAATGCTCGATTTTAAGGGTTAATTGTGTGAGTTAAGAAAAATAATTATATTTTTTAATGTCATGGAATTTACCGTTAGCTTTTTGTGTTTATAGAAATTTGAAAAAGCTTGCGGTTTCGGAAATATAAGGTGTTAAAAATTCAAATTTTACAAATTTCAAGAGACGATAACTTGAGAGGGGATGGAGATGGAAAAAAATTTTCTTCTAACGAAATGAACTATTTGTTAATGTCTAAAAGCCCCTAAGATTTTAAGCTTCTACAGGGTGGGGTCTAGAAGAAAGCCAAATCAAAAATTTGGAAAAAAAAGACTATAGATAACGGTAAATTCGAACGGCCATTTTGTTTTTCTAAAGTTTAACTATAGTATACCGCGCTAGGGAAAGCAAGTCGCTGCCTTTCTGCGTTTTCCAAATTTAAAAAAATGCTTATGGTTTTATTGCAACAAATAGTTAAAAAAGGCCGTTTTTAGTGTTTTGGGGGGGTATATTTTCTAGAGGGGGGGAGATAGGTAAAAATTTTGTTCTACGGAAATAAGTTTCTAGTAAAGATCTATGTACATACAAAATTTCAGCGTTCTATTTTCAAGGGTGTAGAAGTTTTGTAAACAGACACACGGATAGACGGATGGACGGACGGACAGAGTGAAACTAATAAGCACTTTTTTTCAAAAATTTTTTTGAAAAGTGCTAAAAATTATTCTTTTGCAATTTCGATTAAAATGGCTTTTTGGTTATTTAATTAAAGAAGGAATTAATGTAAAACAAAAGTTTTCAATACTTTTCTTACTGAAAATCTTTAATTGAAGAGTCTGTGACGAAATATAAACAACAGCTGCACGGCTTTTTTCATTTTCTAACAAAAAATTTATTAAAAAATTGAAATAAACATACTGATCTTAATAAAAACAATATCTTAATGAATGCAGAAAAGATATTTTTTTTAAAGCATAAATTTGAAACTTATAAACACATACATACATATGTTGTTCTGAAACAATTTGAAGTAAATAAAGTACATACGTATATAAAAAGTTATAATTGAATAAAGAAAGATTGAAAATCTTTAGAAGATGATTTTGTTAAAAATTACACTGTCTTTTGGTTATCTTGCCGATATTTATTCATATTTTCACAATTACAATGCAGCTATACGAAAATGTGTCTGCAACAACTGAATCTATTTGCATATATAATTATATAGTTGTTTTCACTTTAATTCCATCCTTCTTTCACCAATACGTAAATAAAAACGCAATATAAAAAGTCGATTTTTTTTCATTACTATAACATTAGATTTGCAATTTCCCGAATAAAAAAAAAAATCAATAAAAATATTTGCAAACAAATGATTACCTTGAAACAAAAATTATTACCTCTAAAAATCGTTAAAAATATAAAAATTATTCCAAACAGAATGCAGTTTTTTAAATGCATATTTTTTTTTGGTTATATCTGATTCAGTAGTCCCAAATAATAATTTTTTACATAGATATTTACTAATTATAGAATATATTGCCAGAACTATTTTACTTGAGTTTTTAAGTTAAACTAAAATATAGAGAAATTTTATATTTTTAAATCTACTTTATCACATTTATTTCTGATAAGATTTTATTTATATGTGCACATATAACATAAAGCGCAAATATATACTGTTAATATTTTCTTAACTCCAACCATAAAACCGCGAATATACATAAAATCGTTATATATTTGAATTCTAATTTCTAAAAACTTTTACTATATTTTTTTTAATTATAATTTTTTTAAACAATTGTGCAAATATTCAATACCTACATACTTCGTACTATTTAAATAGAACGTTTTTTTTTATTTCTAGTTTTACGAAAATCGACAAATTTAATTTCCTCCAATTTTAGATACAAATGTGTATACATAATTACACCATTATTGAGAAACATTTTATGAAACTGTGATTTTGCATAAGAGTTTTACTGTTTTGCATAAGTTTCAATATGAGCAAAAACTATATAATTTTGCTTGCTACAAGAACAATAAATCGTGATAAAAACGAAAAAGTATAAAAACATTCTTATAGCGTAGATTCCAGCATTTTCCTATAAATTTTTTTGCTGGAATCTACGCTATTGATTAGATCAACATCCACATTTAAATCTTCAATTACAGAATCTGAAGTGGAATCGTCCTGGGTAAAATATAACCCAATTACGGAATAATAATAAGCTTAGCTCCAAGTACAAAACCATGAAGATTCCTTTGAAGTAGACTAACTATGTCAAATAAATAAAGTTTCGTTTTTTAGTGAAAAAGATACAACCAATTTTTACAATTTTATTACTTTAAGTTTCAATTTTTATGTAAATATGATTTATAAAACGTAAAATTGCATAATATAATATGTATAAACAAAATAAATTTGTTAAATCTTTATAAAGCAAAAAAAGGGAAAAGTGAAATTCATTAATAAACTACTTCCTCTTTACTGCATGAATTGCATAAAATAAAGGAGGTTGTGTGATGATACGTCGTCGGTGTAAACGCAATTCTCCATGGTAGAGAGAATTCAGAAGGGGGAAAACGAACTATTTCTAGCAAAATGTTGGTCTGTCCGTTTGTGTGCGCGTGCCTATATCTCAATTTCGACTAAACCGATTTTGGTGAAATTTATATCTGATTTTATTTTGAATATGTCACATATTTATCAACTCTTGCGATATCTCAAACCTGAATTTTCTACAAATTAATTTTACATATTTGCGATCATTTTTGATCAAAAGAAAAAATTTTTCTTGATTAAAATTGATTAAAAATAATTAACACATTAATAACTTAAACTTTTATATATAAGATTCTTCAAACAATATGAGACGCCACTTAACTTTTTGAAAAAATCAGGTTTCAGCGAATTTTTCTACCAGCTAAATTTACATTTTCACAGATATGCAGAGGAATAATATACCAATGTTCATGAAATATAATATTTAAATTTAACTAAAACATTGAATTTATAATTTTTTTGTGAACATCATGGCTCGAAAGCCGAACTTTCACTAAAGGCCAAAAAGTCAAAGCATTTTGATTACTTCCACATAAAATTGCACCCTGATTATGAATGACAGTATATATACATACAAATACATTAAGTACATACTAAATATACGTTTACATATATAATACACTTACATACATAGGAACATAATTTTTTTCCAAATCCGTTTTATTGCTTACCATATTTCAAGAAACAACTACAAAATCAACAGCTTCAATATTCATAAACATCATACATTTTTCTTTTAATTGTTGAACCCAAACATTTTTTAAAGGATGGTAGTAAAGCCCACTTTCCACTCAACGGGCCCTCTTTCAGCTCATTAGCTTTTTCGATACAGAATTTATTCAGGTTTTAAACTTTCGGCTGATGGATAAGTAGAATAATTTTATCACGTCCAAAAAAAAAATGATGGTGTCATTGAGCTCTTTCCAAAGCCCTGTCCCAGCTCACTAGGTCATATGAAAGGCAAGCTATTAGACTTTAAAATTTTTAGCGCAAAAAAAAAAACAACATCAACAAGATGCAGTTGAAGTTTATAAAAGTATAAGGGTTCCTTCGGTTGGATCCTAATAAAGAAGTTTCTGTAACATACCTTAACTAGGCGGTGGAGGTTCAGTTTGCGTTTTGTTTCCTTAGAAATTGCAATGCAATCATCCATCAATCCGGTGGGGTCAATTATTAGGAATTGGATAGATAATTGGAATTGGGTAGATCGCTGACTGGATAGAGCAACCAAATTCTTATGGGCAGCAACGAGGTTCTACAGCAAAACCTGAAGACTCAAGCATAAAATGGTCTATACCTATACTATTGTTTAAACAATGCTTAGAGTCAAAAATGCGGTTGAAAATCTATGTGTTGTTTTTCATATATATAAGTGCTATTTGGACATGGGGATGAAAGTTTTTGACCCTGTCTGCTTATAAACTGACGATAGTAAGCTCAATAGCTCAGCAACTTTCAGTTACACTCAAACAACCAGATACATATGTTCATATGTATGTGTTACCAACAAATTTTTGTATAATTTCAAAAATGAAAAGAAAAGTAATGAAGTGAATTCAATAACGCAATGGTGCTATTCAAAGTACTGAATAATTTAACTTTATTTAAGTTGGGCTGAGACACCCACACAAATAAATAATACTAACACAAATTTTACAAAAAGAGCAGATGTTTTGACTATTTTGTTGCCACGGTTACTATTATAGTATGAATAAAACGCACTTAAATATAAACAAATATTTTATTTTATATTAACCATTATACAAAAAGGATTTTGAAAATAAAGATTAAAAATCTTTAATCAATGAAAATTAAAGCCTACCTTAATAAGAACCAATTTCATAAGGCACCGCTATCATGCCTAGATTGGAGTAATAATGAGGAAATTTATAGTGTGAGGTAAAATGAAGCCCAAAACTGTAACCATATATATACATGTTCATAATAATTTTAAAATTGAAAAACGCATAATAATTTTACAATTTAATTTTCTTTTTATTCATTAAATAATAGCGATGACCATCAAATTTGTAAATGGAGTTCTGTATTGCGTGAAAATGTTGAAATTGCTAAATTACCAGAAGACTTTATACCGACAGATTTACATTGGACTGTTTCTAAAAGTGGTGGTAAAGGTGGGGGTGATTCATTATTAATTTCCAGTAACGATGGACGTTTCATAATTTTAAATAAAAGTGCACGACTTGAAAGAAGTATAGCAGCTCATACAATGTCAATAACATCGGGTCGTTGGAGTCCAGATGGAGCAAGTTTATTAACAGCTAGTGAAGATGGTATAATAAAAATATGGTCAAGATCTGGTATGCTTCGGTCAACAGTAATACAATCTGACGAATCGATTAGATGTGCTCGTTGGTCAGGTAATTCGCAATCAATCGCATTTTGTCAAAATGGTTACATTTTAGTGAAATCATTAGCTGCAAACAGTAAATTAACAAAGGTAAAATACATGTCTTTTTTAATTTTCATTAAAAAATTATTTTTAATTATATTTAAAACTATCCTAGTGGCGCGCCCATGATGGTCTCATTTTAAGCTTAAGTTGGTCTCCAACTCTTAATTTAATAGCCTCTAGTGGGGAAGACCTTCGTTATAAAATTTGGGATCAACAAGGTGTTAATATTTACATAAGCCAAACCAGTGATTACGTCATTACTTCAGTTGAATTTTCACCAAACCAGGATTTGTTAGCTGTAGGAGGGTTCAACGTTCTCAAACTGTGCAGTAGTAATGGTGTACGTTCTTCCCATATCATAAACAAATTTTTGCATTGCAATTTCTTTTTTACATTTCTTTTAGTGGTCTTATAATAATTGCCGTTTTAATTCACCGCCACTTGGATCAATTTATAATATTATTTGGTCACCAGATGGCACTCAGGTGGCAACAGGAAGCTCTAGTGGAAATCTTGTTTTTGGTCATCTATTTGATCACCAATTATATTCTAAGAACTTGAAAGTCAAAACAACCGGACGAAAATCAATTTTTTTGAAAGATATTGTGAGCGGTTCGACAGATGTTTTAGATTTCCCAGATCGAATTATAAATCTAGCATTAAATTATGGACATTTAGTTGTAGCAACTCCAAACCAAATTCATATTTTCAATGAAAACTACATTAATACTCCAATTATAGTTGATGGTAGAAGTGACACAAAAATATTAGAGCTTGGAAAAAAGTAAATAATTTGAGAATTTTATTGTTATTGGAAAACTTTATCAGCAAAGGTGTTTGAAGATTCTTTTTAGCTGTAGATTTTTCATCAATATGGATTTATTCTTATACTGGCCGTTTACATTTAAATCCCAGATTTCCAGGTTCTCAAGCTCAAATACAAAATGTAATAAAAAGATTAATTTCAATTGGTTTAGATGTTTTGGCTGTACGAGATTCATCAGATACCTCCGGTAAAAATTTGAAAATTATAAATATTGAATGCTAAGTAAGAATGCTAATTTTAGTGATTTACATTTTTGACTTAATGCCTGGAGCATCTAGACAAGTTGAACCATTAGCTATTAACACAAAAACTCACGTTTTAGAAGTTGCAACATGTCGCTCTGGTGCGCCAGAAGATCAGTATCTTGTTTATATTGATGTCAATCGCGAACTTTTTATAATATCAACTAAAGGTGGAAATGATGAAACCCCACAAAAAATTGGTACTCAAGTTATGTCTGTTATGTGGGGTAGTGCAACAAATATATTAGTGGGATTACATGACAATTGTTACAGTATTTGGTATTGCCCTAAAGAAAGTAGTAATGACCAAATTTTGCTTGCCTTGACAACAATCACACATGAATCAAGGTAATCAAGATAAAACGTTTGCTAAAAACTCATAATTATTTGTTTTAATACTTTTTATACTATGTCGCAGCGAATTCGGGAAAAATGTTGCCCTTGAATCTTTTGAAAGTGCAGTAATTACATTTTGTTCATCTGGAGCTTTGTTTACAATTAATGTAAACATTTATTGTGAAATTATGCATCATTGCCTGATAGCAGGACAATGGCAGAAAGCCTTAAATATTTGCAGAATAGCTCAAAGTACAGTACTTTGGGCCACTCTTGCGGCATACGCAAGTAAGCATAATCAATTAGAAATTGGTGAAGAAGCTTATTCTGCTGCGTTGCAAATTGATAAAGTTGACTATCTGCAGTATATAAGGGTATTTATCATTTCAAAAAATTCACATTTTCCACATACATATTCTTTTATACTCTTAGAGTTTACCACCTGGTGGTCCTGAACAAATGGCGGAAAACTCTTTAATGTTAGGACGATTAATTGAAGCTGAAACTATTTTGATACATAACAAAAAAGTTAAAGAAGCAATTGCATTATGTATAAGAATGCATAATTGGAGAAGAGCGTTAGACATTGCCGAAAAAAGTCAAATTAACTTAGACGTAGTTTTGATTGAAAGGGCCAAATATTTACAGGCTTTAGGAAAAGAAGAATTTGATACGAGATTTTTAAAAATAGAAAAATGATTATTTTTAAAGTGCTTACAGTTTGTTTTATAGGGTTGCAAGTATACAAATGTATCTACACAATTCAATTTTCAATTATGTTTTCCCAAATTTACGTTCATACATAAGTATGTATAAACATACATATGTACGTACATACGTACATATATGTACGAGTATATAACAAACCTTTAAGATTTGTTTTTTTTTTACTTTTTTGCAAAAATTAAAACGAAATATTAAATTTGAAAGATATTAATAATAAGCAAAAACAACAAAATTCGCGAATGACAAAATATTAATTTAAAAAGGAAAATTTAAAGATTTAAGCAATTATTGTATTAATATTTGAAATAATTTTAAAATGTATGTTCTTGATACGAATTTCTATTATTTTGTAACAATCTTCTATTAACCTTCTATTATTTGGTAGTAAATATTTGCGAAATGATCCAAAGATCCACAAAACTACATTGTTTTTTATTTACAAACAAGCTTAACGTTTTCTAAAAATTCTTTTTTAGAAAACAAAATTGGTTTTATACTTTTTTCTTTTGTTTTGATCGCATTTTACGCTCATTAAAACAATATTCGCAAATCAAATATTATAAAATATTGTAATTAAATCAATAAATTTGTCCTTTTTGTCTTTCTTCTTTCATTTGTTTTTATTCTTTTAAATGAATCCCTTAAGCAAAAAACTTTAAATAGCATAAAATTTGAAAAGCATAACTTTTTTTTTTAATTTCGTCTAAATCTAAATTCTGAAATTACAATTGTTATTATACGGATTTTTTAGCCCTTTTGTGCCACTTGGAGCACTTAATTAAGAGATTATTTTAGTTCTTGGAGAACTAAAATAATCTCTTACATTGTATCAAAATTTAGCGATGTCTAATGAAATTTCAAATTGCAAACAGTATTTTGGTTAAGCCAATAGTACCAACTACAATTTAAGTGAATATGTCAAACAATGACGTTGCGTATATATTTATTTTAATATGTCATTGCAAATAAGATTTTGGGCGCGTCGGAATTGAAATTTTGGGAAATAATACAGTTTAAAAAAAAAACAGAAATTCGGAAAAGGTGTACACTAATAGCTTACACAAATACTTAAAAACCCCAGATTTAGCATCAAATGAAAATATAGCTTCAAATATATGTAGTTCCTATGTTAGTACATAACTTTACTATATGTTATATATAATAGCATCTTAAAGTTTTTTATTACATTTGGCAATAGTACCTATCGTTAAAAAAATAGATATGAAAAATAAACTTCTGCAATGAATATGTCTTATTTAATCATCTAACTTTTAACAGTTTTAAATGCCGATTTTGTCGATATCCAGGCTGTAAATAGCGAATGGCATTCTCTACCTAGAATGGATAGGCTTATGCAATATCAATAATTGTTCTTCCAGGAAGTTTGGGAAAGATCCTTGAGTGTAAAACGGATTAACTGATGTAATGTTACCAATCTTAAGTAAAATAATTAAAGTGATTAAAAAAATATAAGTGAGATTTTGTTTTAGTTTTGAAAGTGAACGTCTTTTCATGAAAAATTTCATTTACCAGCTATGAATGTAGTAAATTACACTTTATTTTCTAGCAAAAACAGTTAAAAAAATACTAAAAATCTTTTTGACCCTTTTTTCAGTTGAAATTAGGAACTTTTCAAATTTTGCCGATTGCAACACTGATTATGCGTCAATAAGATTAATCCAAATTTCTCGAAATTTAATTTATAACAATTTATCTACAGGCAAATTTTTTGAGCAACGTTTTTATATCATTCATTATCAATGTTAAAAAACCAGCGTAAACATCACCAAATCGGCAATGAGATATCAATGCAAGTATAATATCACCCAGTGCAAAATAAAAATCCCTTGTAAAACGGCTATACAATTTTTTAGAAGTAACAGACAGAAACGAGTATAAATCATCATAATAACAGACATCTGACACCCGCCGTATTTTATTATCTTATATAAATTTTTAATAATTTCGTTTTTATTTTCCCGCATAATCCTTGTTGATATATATGTTTATGTATAATATAAGTTTATTTTATTTAATTTGTATTCAAATGTAAAAAAAAACTTAAAAATTATTCCGCTTTTAGGGGGCTTAATTAACATTACGAGATTTATTGCAAAACGTCTACAGTGGGGGACGATTTAATTCAGTTGTTTATTCTTCCGGAAGAATTTTCGTAATCTTTTCCGCAGGAATTTTGTAACAATCACAAAAGTGATAAAAAAAAATTGGAAAAATCGATTGATAGCAGTCCAAAATCCACCGATTGATAGCAGTCCAAAATATTCATATTAGGTCAGTCATCCAAAATAACGCAACATGTTTTAGAACCAGGAAAGCATAAACTCTAAAAAAAGGAACTCATTAAGAAATTTTAATTTACATATGCATACATTGGATATACATATTTCATATTTAACTTACAAGTGAATAGCAATAAACTTTAAAAGAAAAATCTTTTCTAAAATTAAATACACAAAATCAAAATTCATATTTATAAACTCACATGTGTATGTTTTGTATATAGTAAACATGCTATATAAAAGTATTTTTATATATTAGTATGTATGTATTATATTCACACATTTGGAATCATATAATATATATATACATGTTTATATTTACAAACCATTTTCTTGCTAAACAATATGTGTACGCACATACTATATAAAATAATTTTAACGTGACTAAAATCAAAGCTCGGACACTGTTTTCCTCGCTCTCATCTTCTATTAGTTTTAAGATATACATACATACATAGTATAATAATATACTATGTTTGTACTCGTATATAAGATATACTTCATACATACATTAAGATACTCGTATACTTCAAAGTTCCCATGATTTTTTTTTGTTTTGATTCTTAAAAGTTGAAAACCTATTTTTCTACTTTTGAATATAGTTTTGTCACTATTTTTACATGTATCAACGGCTATTAAATCAAATTTTCGGGTATTTTTTTTGTAAAATTGTATAAATTCGGTAATGTTGTGTTTAGTTCATTCGCCGAAGCGCTTTTTATGTCTCTGTTTTAAAAGCTTTTAAGTAGATAAATCACCTTTTAACGAAATCTAATTTGTACGTGTTTCATATAAAATAAAAAAATAAGTGTTAAAGGACAAAAGAATTGAAACATACATTTTTCGCATGTTTTTTGACTACATTTAACACGTGTTACTGGCAAAACTGTGAGAGATAGAGAAAAATTTTATATGGTTTAACCTTTAGATCTCATCGTAGAGCATCGAAAGAAAAAATAATAACAAAAATTTTAAAGAAACTTCAAGCTTTGTAAAAATTTCAAAAAAAAATTCCGATTTTGGCGAGCTGTACCTCGAAAACTGTCCCAAATCATATTAATTGAAAGACCAAAAATAAAGAACAATCAATCCTCTGTAAAGCAAGCTCCTATTAATAACTCTATGTTGTATGCTTCCGAAGTTAGTAGCACTTATTCATATGCAGGAAAAGTCCGGTAACTTTTTTTTCAACAAGTAGTTCGAAAACGAGTACATCTGCAATCTCTCTTGTTTTCTAAATGGAAGGATACTGATTTACATTTTAAATTGAAGAGTAAAGTTTTTAAAAAGGAAATTGGATTTAAAAAAAATTGAAGAAAAATAAGCAAAAAAATAATTATTATAATATAGATGGCTTTTAAACCCATTCTAAATTAACTCTCACAAAAAGAATGCTCAAAAATTTCATAAAAAGTTTGTTGCCGATTAAAATATTCTATCAAATATTTCAAATAAAAAAATATATTTTCAATCGGCATGCTTAGAAAACATAAAATTTTAAGAATTGTTTTTGTATTTTTTTTCGGATTCAAAATTTCGGAAAAATATTATATTATTTATATGTTTCGTCAGATAGTACCATAAGTCACCTAAATTTTGTAAGAAATTACATTTTTATACATATAAAGGAAATAAAGATCAACCAACTTACTTAAAATTTAATATTTAAACTCAGAGTGTAAAAACAATGCGCTTATAAATTTTTTGAGAACTCGGAAACTTAACTTTACATTTAAAGTTCTCTTTCCTACCGCAAGTAACTTATGAACTTTTCAGCGAACTCACTAAAAATCCTACTTACGTCAAGACTAATTTTCTATCGATGAACTTTTCATGCAGAAGAAACTTTTTACGGCCAAAATTTATTGTACGAAAATAGAAGAAAATTTTTACGGCCCTGAGAAAAAATTTATTGTACGTTTAAAAAATTAAATGAACATGGTTGCTATAAACGAAGTGCTTCATATACAATATTTTTGAAATTGTATATTGTAAGTTTATAAGGTTGCAAAAACAATAAATTTCATCTTTTTTTCAAAATTACTGTTAAAAGATTCGTAAATTCATTGTATTTTTTTTATATTACAATTGTTAATGCATGTATATGTATGTATTTAATCGTAAACTATTTCATGTAAACTATTTTTAGAAACAAGAGTTCTATGATGAAGAAATTTTATTATTTTATTGTATATGGTAATCTACATAGATATAATTAGCACCGTCTTAAGACTATAAATTGTTAAAAACTTATTTTGTTCTAATTTTAAATAAAAAAAATAACAATTTATAATTGTTATTTTTTTAAACTTTTGCTCACAATAATTTTAAATACATATGTACATAATTTATTTTTGGAAATGGAAATTTTTACGAAATATTTTTGAATTTGCTTTAAAACTTTCGTTTTCAAAAGCATACTAATCTCTATGTACATGCACACACATTTAGTTTAAAAATTTTATAGTCAGTTTCCGCGCAATCACTCATGGAACTATGATATCCTGTTAATAAGAAAACCTATTATCTTTTCCGACTTGTGTGATTTTAAGGTATTTGAGCAATTTTACATCCATTGTTTGGGAAGAATCTAAAAGGAAAAGTCTATAATAAATGCACATTATGTGTTCGTATGAAAAAACATTTGATTTTTCTTTTTTATATTTATGTGTT